ATTTTTTATTTTTAATTTTGCTCTCTTCTAGTTTTACAAAAAACGCATAGTTTTCGAGATATTTACAAAATACCGATTTTGGGCGCCACCTTAACAAGATGGCGGCGCCGGCAACAAACCTGGAAATGTGCATTTATATGGATTTTAGTTAGGGACCCCAAATAGCCCTATTAACCTGCTAAGTTGCAAAACTTCCGGACTCTTTTCAAAGCAAAAATCCCCAATGACTGAACTAATAATACTGATGGGAGATTTAGAATTCACAATGTTAGACTAATACATGGCAATCAAGCCCACCAAAAATTGAAGATGCACTATTTAGTTCAAAATTACTTTAGTTACAAGAGATTGTCAAATAAAGTTGAATCCATCCGGTATACCGGTCTGAACTCTTCCTTCAATTTTGAAGTTAAACGACCAATTTGAAAATTTCTACAAATTAGAGTTCGACTTGGCGCGGTAACGAGATAACTACGCCGGAGCTGCTCAAGAATTATAAACGTCATTTCCAATAAGCGTAATTTCGTCTGGGCAAAATTACCGACCTAATTAAATTTTCTAATTAGGATCATCTGCATGCTGCTCTCTCTAGCTAATCTGCATTTTATGTGCCATTTAAACTACTACTGTTACTGGAAATCGATGCGTGGTTCGGTGAAAATTGAAAACTGTTAGTTCAGGAGGCCGAAAGTCGTAAAGTTTATGGCATAGTGTCTGTTTCCCAGATTAAAATCGATCCTATATTGTAGCAAAAAGTTAACAAAAACCAAGATATGTACAGGGTGTCAAACTAAGAACAGCTCTCGGCTGTATCTCGGAAAGTATTAGTCACAGGGCTTGCGGAAAAAAAAATATTTGTAACCATAAGAAGAGACCATGAGAAATTGCTGGAAATTATTTTCAAGTCTATAGAACGGCCGCTAGAGGGCGTAACTGCTATGGAAAATAACCAAACAGAATTTTTAAGAAATTTTGCCTAGATACGATGTACTATAAATAAATAATAGCTTCATAATCTTCAGTAAATTTTGGATTATTTTGTAAGATTAATTTTCCCTTATCTTCTAAAATAAAGTGGTGGGGGACGGTTAAATCTGTTTTTATTTAAATGTTAATAACTCCGGACTAGATGATCGGACTAGATGATCGAAAGTACTGCACAAAGCTTTACGAAGATGGTGAATCTTCTAATAATATTAATCGTCCCAACCAATTCGAACATGAACCGGAGATCCTTAAATCAGAAGTTGAACACGCCCTAAATCGTCTCAAAAAAAATAAAGCCCCAGGTATAGATGGCGTAGCTGCTGAGATATTAAAATCAATAGGGCAACCGGTAATTGATATTATTCATTTCATATGCAATCTGATTTGGAAGACGGGAATTTGGCCAGACTACTGGTGCAGCTCGCTATATATACCACTATATAAAAAGGGTAATCCGGCAGACTGCAATAACTATCGAATGATTGCTTTAATTCCTCATGCATGGCAAATTCTCCTGCAGATTATTAACAACAGACTCAGGCCATATCTACTACCACAGATTGCAGAAGAACAAACTGGCTTTATGCCTGGTAAGGGTACCAGAGAACAGATAGGGAACGTACGACAGTTAATAGAAAAAGCTCGAGAATTCAACATAGAAATGTATCTCTGTTTTATCGACTATTCTAAGGCCTTCGATCTAGTCAAGTGGCAAAAACTTTGGCAAATACTCAAGGAAATGGGGGTTCCTGATCACCTTATTCTACTTATCCGACAACTATACCAACATAATTACGGACTTATAAGAATTAATGATGTCACATCAAATAGATTTCAAGCAATGAAGGGTGTCAGGCAGGGGTGTGTTCTCTCACCCCTATTGTTCAATATTTATACCGAGTACATAATGCGTGATATTCTCGATAACTGGCAAGGTGGAGTATCTGTGGGGGGAAGGAAAATCAATAATCTAAGATATGCCGACGATACACTAATCATAACATCAAGTGTGGAAGAAATGGAATTTATTATGCAACGTCTCCAAGAAACTAGTACAGAATTTGGGCTAAAACTTAATCCTAACAAAACTACTGTCATGATTGTGGACCGACAAAACAACAACCAACCTCACGTGGGAAACATAGCTGGATTTAAGGTGGTTAATAAATACTTATATCTGGGATCGCTAATCGACAACAGCGGCTCATGCGAAGGCGAAATAAGACGTAGAATTGCGCTGGCTAGAACAGCCGTAACTAAATTAACTAAGATATGGAAAGATACAGCCATCACTAAGAACACCAAACTAAGACTGCTGAACTCGCTTGTTTTCCCGATTGCTACGAATGGGGCGGAAACATGGACGCTGAAGAAAAAGCGATACCAGGCAGATATGCTTTTGAAATGTGGGCATATAGACGTCTGCTACGTATCTATGGACAGCCCATCGTACAGATGTGTCAGTTCTCAAGAACTAAACTCACAACTCAGCCTCTCAAAAAAATAAACCGATGTTTTCTGACATATATTGGTCACATTGCTAGAAGAATGGACTCACTGCAGCTGCTAATAGTCGAGGGAAAGGTAGAGGGAAAGCGACCACGAGGAAGATCACCCAAGAGATGGGTTGATCAAACTAAAGACCTAATCGGCCAAGGCCTTCATGAAACCGTCAGCATGGCTCAAAACAGAGCGGACTGGCACAATACGATAAAAACCGCTACAGGAACATCATAGTCACTAATCCCTCTTCAGGGAAACGGACCAAAGAGAGAGAGATGATCGGAATCCTACAAATGATAGCTCGTTTAAAAGAGAGTTTCTTACTCTATGTTATACCACAAAAAAAAATATGCTTTTGAACGTAGACGCTAGGGGGCGCAGTCTTACAATTTAACAAACATTACGCGTTTTTCCAAAAAATATAAATGCATGAATATAAATATATGAACTTTTAGCTGATAATAAAGAGTAATAAAAGCTTAAAAAACCGCATCTTGATATCTTTTTTCAAACCAAAGTTTGAGCTAAATTAGCTAAATTAAAATAAATACGAAAAAAATAAGCCCTTAATTACCTTATTTTTCTAACACGCTATCATTAGCCTTCTTGATTATGATCATTCTAATAAAAAATAAGATAAAAAAGATTATTTCATTCAAAAAATCAACAATGTACCAGAATACCATAATACTAGGTGTATTAATATCTAATAATGAAGATATCAATGTGAGTGAACAAGAAACGACGCCTCAGTGAATTCATGGTAGGCTTTGGAAAAAAGTTGCTTTTAAAGGGATAGTTTAAACATCAAAATATTATTATATCAACATTTGATAGTCTGATGATATTCTCAGCAGCGTTTTTTATCTTTGGTTGCTTTTCTAAATATGCCTTTCTTCAAAAATAAAAAAGCTGCTAGCTAATACAATATAATCAAATTGTTGATCTAATAACAGTTTGATGTTTACATATACTAGCCATTACTTGCTGACGAGTATTTGACACGCATCGGAAGATGGTTACGCAAGGCGTTTTTTCTTTCATAAGCTTTTCTGTGGTGAAAGCCCGATACGTTATGTTAGCTGCCTACCGCACTCGGAAATTCAAAAATCTCATTACTTTGTTGCCTTTTTTACCTTTTGGTTGTCGCTCTTCACTGAATTTACAATTAATTCTTCTCCACTATGAGTTCTATTATGAGCTACTTCTTCGCACTCATTCTACATATTAATTTCCAAGTTTTCGTGGAAAATGTCCTTTGACGTTTGTGCTATTACGCCAAAAAGCAACTTCTTTCCAAAGCCTACCATGACTTCATCGAGGCATCGTTTCTTATTCGCTGTCATTGATATCTTAATTATTAGATATTAATACATCTGTTATTATGGTAATCTTTTATATTGTCGATTTTAGAATAAACTAATCGTTTCTATCTTACTTTTTATTTTTTATTAGAATAGTAATAATCAAGACGGCTACTGTAACCATGTTATAAAAATAAGGTAATTAAGGGCTTATTGTTTAGTGTTTATTATAATTTTCCTAATGACTTCGGCTTGAAAGAGAATATCAAGATGCGGTTTTCGCTGACTTTTTAAGCATTTATTACTCTTTATTATCAGCTAAAAGTACATATACTATCACATTTATATTTTTTGGAAAAAGGCGCAACGTTTGTTAAATTGTAAGACAGCGCCCCCTAGCGTCTAGATTCAAAAGTTTTGAATGTAGGCGCTAGTCTTTCTAATATTTAATAAACCACTAAATCGTGCTGAAAAAAGCGATTTTGTATAGATTAAATGTTACTTCGCCAATTACGTTTAATTTCTAACCTTGTTTGGGATACCCGAAAGAAAATAAGCATTAACTATGTAGGAAAGTATTCCTTTTCCATGTTGATCACTAGAGTTCTATTAAAAAAGTGGAATTCCTAATATTGAAAAATATATCGATTTCACAAGTAAGAATGTCAAAATTTGTATATTTTTAGGTAGATAAAGAAAAGCAAAAGTGGTTCCCGCTGGCGTAGGGGTACAGCTCTCGTCTACCTATCTAAAGGTTGTTGGGTTTGAATCATACACCCGGCATTTCATCAGCCGATTATTTCTATTAAAATAAAAATAGTTTGGGTACCTAGGTCGACTCAGCCTTAACTGAGTACTTGAGTACATTACCTTTCTTGTATACCGAACGGCTCTAGCATGGCAAGCTGTACCTTGCTACTCCCAAGGCGTTAAACGCTATATACGGGAGCTATCGTTATTTAAGAAAAGCAAAAAAATTAACGTATTAAATGAATTGACATTTTGTTTTTGACAAATTTGCTGAATTTTTTTGATCAATAATTTCATTTAGCGGTATCAATAACTAATCCTAAAATTCTTTAACTATTTCTTCAAACTATTTCAATGTGTGTCTCCGTATAACAAAAGAAAAATGCAAAAAATCTTTTTATTATTCTCTCTGATTAATATGAATTATATTACAAATTTATTAAAAAATACACTCACCCCAATAAATATTTCCCTACTTATTCTTCTAAAATGATTGTTGAGCGTCCAGTAGATAAACGGGTACCAGAAACTATTGCTTAGGGCCAACCACGTGGCTAAAAAGTCAAGGGAAGGTGGGGCTCGCGAACCCGTACACGCGGCTACCACCTCCTGTATCGTCCAGGGAGTTACCAAGACTATGAAACCCAACGACATGGCTGCCATCGTTCTGGAGCAGACGGTACTGAGCTTTCGTTCTTGATTGATTAACTGTAACAAAAATAAGCATAAATTATTATTATAATATTATCTTGTCTAAGGAACTTCCGCTTCAATTTTATTTTAGTTTTAATTTTATTATATTAATAATGGTCATATAGTGAAGATTGGATTACAAGTTGTACATAGCCTCAGAATCAACTAAAACGTTGAAGAATCTGTAATCTGTAATATACAATACAATTTTACAATATTTTAAAAAGAAAATAAAAAGAAATTTTTTTTTTTTAAAAAATTTATATATAACCGTCACTTATTAATCACAGTTATTAAAACTAATATATATGGCTATATGACATCTAACATTGGAGATATATTGTTAAAATCCATCTAAATGTGATGCAGACATTTCAAAATATGTTGCTATGAACCGCCATTTGGTCCTCCTTGATATATTTCCAGCAACAAATTCCATGAGGGTTTAGAGTAACTTTAACAACATGTGAATACTAAGACACTACTTCTCGATATCAGTTCTACCATCAAAGCCAAACAACAAGAGAGCCAGACCAATAGAAAAGAATGGAATTTAGTGATCTAGTGTGGTATACAATAAATTATACGCCACACTGAGATAACAAAATAAGTATCATATATTTTAAAATTATGAAAAATCAATATCGGAGAGCTTTTAAATAATATCTGAAAATTTCAACACACGTAGTCTTTAATTAAAAATCGTAATTAAAAATTATGATCACACTGCTTATTGACTATCTATCTTGACCGGATTTTTTTGGCTAACTTTTAACACAGAAAAAAAAAATATAAAAAAAAATTGTGTGCACTATGTGCGCATATTTGAAGGTAAAAACTTCTTACCAACATCTATTCTACTTACAGTGCCATACTATATACAGAGCGTCAATATACTCTCGAATGTACACATGATGTGTACCTGTACACAGGACCTACATCGCCGAATCGAACGGCTCTATTCGAGGAAACTGTAAAGGCAAATATACTCAAGATGGTTTGCCATTGCCTTCATTGAGGTGGCGGCTCGTTAGTCGCTCTATTTAGATAAATAAACATTTTTGTTTAAATAAATAAAAACGATTTTTTTTTTTTTTAAATAAATAAAGTACCATCCCATCTCTTCGACAAATCCGTTTTTGGGTAATCAATAGAATTTGAAACAACTTTAAAAAATATATGTAACATAATAATACCACACATGTTCAAGACAATCCAATACAGAAACTTTCAATAATACAACATAACATTAACAAAAATTGGCTTGGGAGGTCCGTATAGCCGCCCATACTAAAATATGTTAGGCAGTTCTTTTAGTTTCAAAGTAAAGGAATTTTTCAATTTTTTATCTCAAAAACTGCGACTTTGACTGATTTTGATGTTATTACAAATTTTGTTGCAAATATTATTCTAATCTTAAATTACTACTTCAGAAATTTTTGGAGTTACGTTTTTTAAATTGCAACACTGCATACATACCAACCCCCAAAAAACTGTGGCCCAGATTCTCGTAGCCTTACAGTATTTTTATTACTTAGAAATTTGGTTAAAATCGGTTTTAGCGGTTTTTGAGTTGTGTCTATTTTGAACTGACAGACAGACAATCAGGTTGGTTGGTGAAATTAAAAAACTTTTTTTTATTTAAAAGTTATTACTTTTCATACCTGTTAAAAAATCAGCCGATCTTAGCCTATCCATACCTGTTTCCTAAAATCAGAAAAAAATGATTAACTAATAAGTTCTAAAGAAATTGTTTTATCTTCTTTTGTCTTTTAATAACTGTTGTAAATTTAACTAATATTTTCAAAATAGTTTTGGTTATGCGCATATAAATTTTCTCTAACGGCAACAAAAATGGGTGGTTGAAAATTGAATATTTCAAAAGTTTGTGAAGTCACTTAAGGAGTATTTGGGGTAGCTGCAATGTGTTTCAGTATTAAAATTTTTATTAAACGTTAAAATTTTCTAGTAAGAGAAAGAAAAATGCTAAACGATGTCATTGAGGTCTTTCTACAAATAAAAAATGTTTAAATGTTCATACGGAATAGAATTTACTAATAAAGTTTATTTTTTAAAAGGAAATAAATATTTTTATCTTTTCTCAAATATTTACCGAGAGTATAAAATCCAAACAAAATATTTAACAAGGTAGCAAGTCATTAATAATAATTAAAACTTATACATAATTAAATAATTTAACACCTTCCAACTGTTTGCTTATACGTTGTAAATTGAATTTAAGCGACAAGATAAATGATTTGCTTTTCTTTGGTGCATCTGCAGTAAATCGCGTGGTAATAGTATTGGGGAATATAGCTTGCAGATAAGTAAATTGAACAATTTAGCGTGAAAGCTATATTTTCCTGTAAATTGCAGTGGTAACTTAGCATACTAATCCCCTTAACAAGAGGGATAGCACTATAAACCTTATAGGTTTGCTAAATTGGCCGCAAAATTTCTCACCTATTATACTGCACAGCATCTGCGGCATTTTGTGCAAATAACGCTACCTGTATAAAATCTTTTAAACTAGGTTCATATTTAGGCATGCCACTTTATTTTATAGAATATTATATAAAGTATATGCATAAAATTTATTCTTAGACACAAATTATACATAATTTACATTTTTTTCGATACTTTAACATAGCTTTGTATATTATGTTGTTGTTATATTATTCTAGTTAATAACTCAAAACTGGAAATCGTAGAAATATACATATATTTAGGACAACTAATACACAGCTCGGGATCTCTACTACTAGAAATCAACCAAAGAATTAGGTTAGCATGGAGTACTTATGGAAGAAACTCAATCATATTCAAATATAGAATGCCACTGTATCTGAAGAAGAAAACATTCCACCAATGTGTACCACCAGTCATGACCTATGCATGCGAAACCTGGACTCTTGAAATGGACATTATAAGAAAACTGCAGGTTGTACAACGCTCAATGAAACGAAATATGTTGGGAATAACCAAAAAAGACCGTAAAATAGAGTGGATACGACAAAAGATCCAAGTAATAACTGTCATCCACAGAATCAAATCCCTCAAGTGGCAATGGGCAGGACGACACCTGGCAAGAAGGACGGACAACAGATGTACCACAAAAATTACAGCATGTTATCCACGAGGAACTGAGAAGCATAGAGGAAGACCAAACCTGAGATGGGACCATGATATTAGGAAATTAGCAGGGATAACTTGGGCCCGCATAGCCAACAATAGACAAAAATGGGCTCAACTACAAAAGTAGTATCTAAACATGTGAAGGGGGCTACACCATATGTAGCTACAGCGTACTTGGAAATGGTTGAATAAGCTGAGAATGATGATGATGATATGTAGTTGATTATGGATCTTAGGACATTTTACAAATAAAATATAACAAACCGATTTTTTGCACTTAAAAACATTATTTACTTCAAGTCTTCAATTAAATAAATAAATGCCTTTATTGTCAAAAAATTTTACAAATTTAGACACAGGTAAAGTAAACAAACAAAGTAAGCAAACAAACAAAATAGAATACAAAACATTATACAAATAACATTGCCAGTCTTATTGTTTAAAGTAAACATTTATAAATGTTTACAATGTCAAAAAGAACAAAAAATTAAAATAAGATTCAAAAATATTTAGTAAGTTTATACTAAATATCAATGACCTCTAGATAATGTCATTGGTAAATATAGTAATAGCAAACATTAGACCAGTGTTTACAAGATCAAATTCGATTATCAAAATATAAGTCATTTACGGCGTAGAAAGCCTTGTCTAGTAAATAAGATTTCAATGCTTTGCGAAATGAAGAAAATGATGTTATGGATTTGATTTCAAATAGCAGGTGATCGTGCATTTTTTTCGAGTTGTATAATATTGAACTTTTAACTAACTCTGAGCGTAAGGTAGGTAGATAAAGATCTTGCTCCACGTTCCTAAATGGATAAGTGTGAGATGGCCTTTCTTGAGAAGCTGATACATGCTTACGTATTAGGCAAACGGATTCAAATATAAATAAGGAAGGAAGAGTTAATATGTTTAACTTTTAAAAAGTCCTGGCAATGAGTTCTGCTGTTTAGTACCAGTGAATATCGAACAGCTCTCTTCTGGAGCTTGAAAATGCGGTCAAATTGAGTCGCACAACACGTACCCCAGAATGGAAGGGCAACTGTCCTTTTGGATTTTTTGACAAGAATCGCGCACTTAAATTCAGTCATTGATGTTATATTGAATAAGTATAATTGCATAACTGATGTTATATTGAAAATGTAAACACTGTTTAGTGATTTGGTTTGCTTTTATTGTAGACAATTTTTATCTTGTCTATTTCAAAAATAAAGTGGTAGGAAGATGTTACAGAATTTTACCTTAGAATGTTTATATTTGATTTATATCATGTCTATTTTGTATGAACCGATGTTAGTTAACTTGTGTTTGAACTTATTAACTGCTGCTAAACTAACTGCTCTACAGAATAATGATTTTCTCAATAAAATCAAATAGTATGCTATGATTTTTATATCGTAATTTATTTTGTAGTAGTGGGGCCTTGAATATTGATAAAATTTTGACAAAAAAAGATGACAAAAAACTATTTTTTGTCATCATTGTCCTACTTGAAATGTAAATGCTAATAAAATATTGCTAAAATAATATTACCCACAATTTTCTTGTTATACTAACGAAAAATGTTATGCATAGAAAAAAATATTTCGTTATTATCACTCTGAATGGAAGAGTTTAAATTATATCAAAACCTGATTAGTCAAATAAAGGAAATGGATGAAGTAGTACTGAATATTTATGTAATTTTTTCCACAAAATTGACAAAAGGCTCAAATCGACTTAAACAGTAAACACCCTTCTTCCTTGCTATGTATAAATGTAAATTACCCCAAGCTGATGTTAATTCCTCAAACGGTGAAAAACACGAACGAAAATCCAATGGCCCAATCTTGTACGTTTCCCACACATTCTAACAGAAGATTGCTCGACCATGTTGCCGCTACTCACTATTTGTGGTTAAATTTCATATTTGCTTAACAAAAATCGTCGTAGGTATCACGAAGTGGCGTAACTCATATTTTTGATATTTCTCAGTAGAGCGGTTTAAAGTTCTCTACGACTTTTGTTTCAATACCAACCAAAATATATTTTAGCCACAGTGTTTCTTTGACAAATAAGAACCGATCACCTGAAAGTGTCAAAAAAATTACTTAAACCACTTCGTGATATCTACGACGAAATATCGTTCTGTAAAATTTTGAAATTTCCTTAAAAATTAATTTTAAGCGCTTCATATATTTATGGTCTTTAGTCCTTTTGTAGTAAGTTAAAACTAGAATATATACACGCATAAAAACGATCATAGCGTATTTTTTGAAGCTGAAAACTACGTTTACATGTAAAATAATAAAATCAGCAAACTATAGCTAATTCATTCCAAGAGTCAGGAATTAACCTTAGACTTTGAAGTACTCAGATCAAGTGAAAAACAAATTTATATTACATAATTATGTGCTGTGTTTATTCATAAAATCAACTAATTGAAGTATTCGTAAAAGTCATAGATAAGCTAACACTAGTTTCAAAACTAGCCATTTTAGCCGTATGGTACGGCTAAAATTATACAGAGAAGACCAGGCTACTAGTAACATAGCAAGTTGCCGGACGAATTTACGTTTACCCGATTTGCGTTAGTTCTCGAGATTCACTGCCGGCTAGTCGGCTGGTCAGGCAGTACGTGCTTGTTGACGGGTCGGTCGTGACAGACTTGGAACTCCTGCGACGCGAGGAGTGCCGAGTATTTATTATTTTCATTTTAAGTGTTTACCTTAGTGTATATCCCGATAAGACCTATTTTGGAAATACCATTTTACAATTTGAATTTTCTTACAAACTTCGTAAACATCCATTATTTTACTTAAAAAATAAATTTTAGTCGCGAGAATCTATGTATTCGTTTTGGCTATTAAAACACGAATAAATACAAATTCTGAAACATTCTTATCATATATCTACCTATTTTTATTTTATCGCATTTTTTCGCCTGCTTTTTATCCGGCGGACGGGTATACGCTAATTCGTCCGGTTTTGTCTTTGTTACTACTACGGTGGTCCGGTCTGTATAGGCTATATAATTTTTGTTACAAATTTAAAAACCTTAGCAGCTGTTAAAATTTACCATGTAGGGCACCATCCCTTTTTTAATAAAAAAAATGTTTTTATTCATGTTAAATAAATCTCGTTTTATTGATGTTTTTCCAACTTAACTAATACAATACAATATAAGACATCATTTTTTATCTAAATATTTTTTAGAAATTTGATTGCTTTTGAGTACCTTTTCTGGCATCTGACAACGCTGTAATTACACCCAGGCTGATATTACAAAGCTCTGGAATTATTTTCTCCTTCATGAATAACTGTCTACAGAAACATACGAAGAAAAAGAGAGATTTGGAGTTTTGATATTATTTTTAGACTATATTGATTGAATATGTATTAGATTTGTTTTTGCTTTTTAACTTGGATTTATTTCCTCTTCCAGCAAATTGGATTACGTAGTAGCGGCTACACTAAAATTCTGAAAATAATTTAGATAGTAGAGCGGGTGCCTTTATGTAAAGATCCAAATTTTTAAAAAATCACCGGTGCTAAATAACTTACCATTGCAGTCATTCACTGTTTGTATTATTCTTTAAGTTTTACTTAATTAGTATTATGAATATTTTTCCTATTTTGCATTAATTATTTCATATTACCGACTATTTCTTTTTGTAAAATAAAATTTCAAAGTTTATTCATTAATTAAATATTCTCTGTCAGTTTTTAGCTATGTCTCTCAGTTCTAGAATTATAATGAGAGATACATAATTCTTTCAAATGATCATAAAAAGTTTTGACGAGTGCCTCATTTTCTTTTCAAAACTCCATAGTTAAAAGTTCTGTATATAATTAAAATTAATAAAACCTTTATATTAATTCTTTTTTGATATTTTAGTAAGTTGTTTTAGTAGAACTGACATATATTTAGCTTTTGTATAAAAGAGGAGTATAGAAATATTATAATTAAAAGAAACTTAGCTTTTGTAGGCACCTCTCAAAACATAATTAATTTCTTTATGGTATACAGGGTGCTACAAATTCGAGGTACGAGCATTGGTATCTCGGTAACCGGAATAGATACGAACATGGTTAAATTGGGGCAAAGTTGCCGCTTTGGGATGTTCACTAAGATACCATCAAAAAAGTTTTAAAAATTTCAAGGATTGGTGAGTTTCTTAGAAAAAACGGATTTTTTTGAAAATAAATTTTATTTTTTCCTGTCGTTACTTTTAAGAAAATCAAAAAACTAATTGCACTTTCTCATAGCCACTTTATGAGGGCTATCTGACGGTTTTTTTAGATTTTCAAATTAGCTGAGAATTTGTGAGATACAGAGGCCAAATTAATTTTTTTAAATACGAACCTGCATTTTTTATTTCATATTTGGAAGAACTCGGTCTCCTGAGTACAATTATATGCCACACTTAATATTTTTTTTTGTTTTAGACATTTGAACACAATTTATTTAAACTAATTACAAGTCCGGCTCTGTTTTTTTTAAATATTTAATCTATTCATCCTTACAATATCGATAAACTTTCAAACTTAAAAATGACGTGGGGTATAACATTGAATATTGAAAATCAAATGCAATAAAATAATAAAAAATAATATACAAATGAATACATTACACGTCATTTGTAAAAGTGAAATCAATTCATCTCAACATTTACAATAAAGAGTACAAAATGCTTTCGGAAGTATAAGAAGAAAGTTCAAAGAGCTATAAATAAAACTGAACGAAAAATAAATTTGTGCAATAGGGAGGGTTGTAATCCTTTCGTAGAACATAAGAAACTAGTTTGTAGAAGTTTATTTATTTATAATAACTCCGATTAATATTACGCATATTATTAGATCGGACACTGAGATTTCAAATTCACAATAAAACAAATAAAAATAATAACTTTAAATTGCTGACCTGGATATAATTTATTTGAATCTCCAATTGGCCCGATTTTCCTTATTCAATGATAATTAGCGCTGATCAATATGTATATTACGATGAATATAATTAGATTAAATAATTAAAAAAAACTGGGTCGGACTTGAAATTATTTTAAATAATAATTATATAGTTTTTTGTTGTTAAAGTACCAAAAACCAAAAAAAAGTAGCATATCATTGTACTCAGGAGACCGAGTTCTTTCAAAACCGAAAATAAAAAATGCAGGTCTGTATTTAAAAAAATTAAGTTGGCCTCTGTATCTCACAAATTATCAGCTAATTTGAAAATCTAAAAATACTATCAGATAGCCCTAATAAAGTGGCTATGAGAATGTGCACAATTAGTTTTTTGATTTTCTGTAAAGTAACGACAGGAAAAAATTAAATTGATTTTCAAAAAAATCCGTTTTTTCCAAAAAACTCAGCAATCCTTGAAATTTTTAAAACTTTTTTGATGGCGTCTGGGTGAACATCACAAAGCGCAACTTTGCCCCAATTTAATCATGTTCGTATCTATTACGGTTACCGAGATACTAATGCTCGTACCTCGAATTTGTAGCACCCTGTATATAACAGGAACGCTTGCTACAAAAAGTTTGAAATCACTCCAAGAACGCCAAAAGGAGTAAATTTTAAGCAATGTAAGCATCAATTCAGATGCTTACAAGATACACGAAAAACAAAATAATTACAAAAAGCTTCTATAATGGCAAACATCACAGGAGATAGGGGAGCCTTTTAAAATATAATGTCCCTACCCCAAACATAACTATAAAAAAAATTTAAAATCATAATTAGGAAGAATAAACCTAAAAAATAACTAAAAAAAACTGGTATTATTAAAATATAATAATTAGAAACATAGTTGTCATGTGGCGTTATAAAGCATTTCCATTAAATACAACTGGTTTATAGATTTGTTTAGGGATTATTCTCCACCAACAAAACGAATTACTATTTAAGTAGCATCGACATAACCGGTAATTGTCCGGCCAATTTTAAAACTTTAATGTCCAACTGAGCGGCCAATTCGAAGCCAATTCAACAAAATTGAGTATAAATTAAACAATTGGTTTTCGAATAGTCGCACCGCAATAAACAATTTGTCCTAAAATTACTAGCTATGGCGCTACCTTAAAGCCAATAAGGCATAACGATATGCTATTTTACGTCGTGTTGCTATGGTTAGGCATGTTTTCAGAGAATGAAACTGTGGTTTAAAAATTATGGCTTTTAATAATTCAGTGAATAATACATAACATAACTCTTTTTTTAATGAGCTGGTATACATAGTGGTAGAAGTAAAATCATAATGAAACTAAAAGAATTTTGGACTTCCATTGTCTGTATTTATTTTGATTTACACAACGTTTAGGTCAGAAGAATCACTGACCGTTATCAAATGTAAACTATACTAATTCCTAAAACTAATGGGCTTTTATACTGAGGTAAAAAAAGCTACCGGTCAAAATGTGGGGTGTAGTCAACCGTAAGGGTGACCACTTGCCTGCATTGGAGCGTTTTGTCAGTGGTTATCATATCGTAGATATTTCGGTACTAGGATTGCTAAAGATATTATTGTTCGCTATAAAAACTGCTTCCAATGAGATTCCCTGTGGACAATTCAAGCTTCCGACCACTTTATATTGTGTTGTGTTGACCAAACATTGTCCGCAGTACCTGACTTTATTGTTTCAACTTTCTATACATGTTTTCTGTGCTCGCCAAGGCGTACATTTAGACGACGTTTAGTCTCTCCAATATACGACTCACCGCATTCACAAGGTACCTGGTAGATGCTATCTTTCTCTTGTTTCAATGATTCCGGTCTTGTATTTGTTAGGATTCTCTTAGAGTCGATCCAGTTTATTTAAAAATAATATAGCAAACAAATTTCTTGCAGTATAGGTATATAATAAAAATATATAAGGATTCTTGCCACTTAACTGCTGATATAGAAATTTAATTCTACGCTGTGTTTGTCATAATGTGGATCAACCTGCTCTCACTACCGGTTTCGGAACCCTACTCCATCATCAAGTGAGCTTGGGCAGATCCACAAAATGACAACAACAGCGCAGTGATAGTTAATTCCGACTTATCGGAAAGTGTCGGTTAGATATTAAGTCCCCAACGGGAGATAGCGGCCTGCGTGCAATGGTGTGGATCTGCCCAAGCTCACCTGATGATGGAGTAGGGCTCCGAAACCGGTAGTAAGAGCAGGTTGATCCACATTATGACACACACAGCGTAGAATTAAATTTCTATATGAGCAGTTAAGTGGCAAGAATCCTTATATAATTTTATTATATACCCATTATACTGCAAGAAATTTGTTTTCTATTTTATAATTTGGCTCGCCTGAAAAAAAAAGCCTTTTACTCTCTTTTTACTATCGATAGTTGCGCCTCAGTGGTACGAAAGTACTACCATAGCACGCAGGCCGCTATCTCCCGTTCGGGACTTAATATCTAACCGACACTTTCCGACAAGTCGGAATTAACTATCTCTGCGCTGTGGTTGTCATTTTGTGGATTTGCCCAAGCTCACCTGATGATGGAGTAGGGCTCCGAAACCGGTAGTGAGAGCAGGTTGATCCACATTATGACAAACACAGCGTAGAATTAAATTTCTATATCAGCAGTTAAGTGGCAAGAATCTTATATAATTTTAAAAATAATGTTATATATGTTTATTTTAACATTATACTTTTTGGCTATTCACTCTTTCTCTCTCACTCTAAATCAGTTCATAACGTCCTTCGCCGTCTTCCGATTTCCAGTCTCCATTGGTCTCTGTCTGTCCAGAGGTTTTTGTCTATTCCTGTTGTTCTGATATCCCCGTCTATTCCTTCTCTCCAACTCCGTCTAGGTCTCCTTCTCTTTCTTTTAGCTTGCGGTGTTCAATTGAGTGTGGCCGGCCGTAGCGCAAGCAGTTAGTGCGTCGATCTGCGGTGCGAGAGATGGGATGGTACTGGGTTCGATCCTCAGCCTCGGTTTATTTATTTAAATAAAAATATTTATTTATCTAAATAGAGCGACCAGCGAGCCGCCGCGCCACCTCAAAGAAGGCAATGGCAAACCACCTTGAGTATATTGATGAGTTGGTTAATTGTGACGTCTTCTGTTATTCTGTGTTTAACGCACATGATGTTCTGAACTCTCTCATTTCTTACTCTATCCAGTTTCGATTTCCCGGCCGCGCGCCTCCAAAAGTCCATTTCTGAAGCTTCGAGTGACTTAAAGCTTTATTCTTTCAAAGGCCTTTGGAGAATGTGACGTGGTCGTATTGAAATGAGGCGCGTGTTCTAACAACTTTTATTTAACATTAATATAAATTGGACTGAAATTTAACAGAAACGAAGGAGCACAATCGGACTAGCCGGCGGCCATTTTGACTGACTGACTGAGACTGACTTCAGTGGCTTCGTTGACGGATGACAGAGCGGACTGTCACGCGGTTCTTCTTTTCTCTGTGGACTTGGCCTTCATGACCAGCAAGAGAAAACTTCTCGAGATTGGAGTAGCTGTTTGCGCCGTCGAACCTCCGGGCCTGATACGGTTGGAGGCGGCAATGGCTTGGACGCCACAGGCCCATAACTTCACTACCATAACTAATGATGCTAGCGAGACGGCCCTTTTTTTCTATTCGCCTGATTTTATTTTACGCATAACAAATACTTTTATCCACGACTCGTCTATAATTTGATTATTATACATGAGTTTATGAAATAATAATAATATCCACTATTCACTACTGAATAATGGTTTCATTATTCACCGCTTCCACCGATATCTCAATCCAAACTCCAAACAAGAGCTGCGCTCGATCCAAACCGGCTTGGAATGCGATTGTACGCACAAAATAAAGAAAATTTCAATGTTTTGTTTCCATGTAACTTACTTGTTATACTCGTTCAATATTTTTTGACATTAAAAATAAAATTTATATTAATATTACCTAAATTTTTTTGATTGTCCTGGATAAAGTACAGTATTCTACTCGCATATAATGGCTGTTATTCATGGCTTGGATGATTTATGATCATAAACTTCATCCGCGTGAATAACAGCCACCATTATATGCTCGTTGAATAATATACTATTATATGCGTAAAATAAAAAAATTAATAAACAATTATAATATCAATATTATTGATAAACACGTGGACTGCTCACAAATAAAGGTCGTGTTACCACGTAAAGGCCGTCTCGCTAGCTTGTGTGTCACGGCCTTGAATTTTTACTCCCAGCGCGTATAAAAAGTTTCTTATAAAAATTCATTGGCAATCTTTAACAGCAACGCCACGACAATTTTTCTACAAAATATCTTTTTTACTAAAGCTAATGACAAGAAATTTACATTGTTGCACAATTTAATGCTTTAGAAATAGTTTTTTTACAATCGCCATTCGCTTTGGCAAATGCATGTAAGAGTACAAAATTTCAGAAATAACGGTTTACAAATATTCTTAAAAATAAACAAAATATATTATTTTTGTTTAACTTTATGAGGGCTGTAAATTTTTATCTGTAGAATCATCCACAGAAGTTAGATACACTATTTTTGACACCCTGTATATTAATGCCATTCCATTAACAAACCGTACAAACACAAAAATTAATAATATTTAGAAGAAAATATAAGTAGATATTTATATTTGCAGTTGGATTTAAGTGTAAAAGACTGGTCTTCCTAAAATGTGTCCACGGTGTATAATAAAATTTAAAATTAAAGTAAACTACCATAGAAAATTACAAATATGGCGACAATATTAGACGTTCTAACTTCTATTTTATCTTACTTACGGCTCGGCTAATAGACAAGATGTCGCTGCAAACTAAATTTTATTGCTGCGACGTATCACTAAGATTTTTGAGATTTTGTTTAGTCGTACCAGAAGAAAATGAAATTGGAAAATGGAGAAAATGGAGAAATATCAGAATTTTTATAATATATTTGATATCGTTTTCTTTTATAACAGTAGGATGTGATTTTCATGTATATTATGTTGTTAAGGGTAAGTAAACATAAACAACAATTGTTCTGTTATAAGAAATCTTGCTCTAAAAGAAAGTTTCCAACAAACAAAAATAACTATCGGCGTATCAGATGGTGCTGAATTATGAAAATTGTATATATTTTTTAATTCATATAGAGTATGTCCCCGAATTGTCTTTAAAAGAGGAAAATCTTTTTCATTATAGCCATTTTGAGAAAAAAGCATTCTTTATATATTATATATTTTTATTTTTTTATACCGGTCTAATACTTTCTTTTAATTTCCATACCGTTTTAGAGAAAATTGAGAAAGCATAAAAATATGGTCGAATTTTTTCCTATTCTTCAAAGTCCTAAAATTCAAAATGTGTTTCTATAATAATGTCACTTTGTTTTCATTCTCTGATAGATTGTTATTAATAGAATTTTAATTAACGAAATATTTTTTTGCTGTTTTAAATTGTTAAAGAAGCACCAAATTTATTTAGTGCAATGCTATACAGAATTTGCGTATAAAATCCGGTGAAAATTATTTCATATATTTTTCTTTAATAAAAACAGAATTTGCATAATAATATAAACTAATTTAGTAGACATTAAATGAAAAATAACCCAAACTTATAGTTTTTATATATAGAGTGTCCCAAATTCGAGGGTGACCATTGTGATCTCAGAGACCATAAAAAATACGAAAGAAATATATAATTATGGCAAAGTTTTGTATTTTTGTGACCAATAAAGTGTCGCATTACAAATTAAAAAAATCAAAGACTTCTAAAGATATCCGTAAAAAAACGAAATATTTATTGTAAAATAGTTTTAAATTCTTGATGTGTTTATAATTCTTCTTATTTGAAGATATATTTTATAATAAGTGCTACTTTAATATTATCCGAAATATTATTACTTTTTTCTCTTTAAAGGATGGTACAATTCTAATTAAAATGGGACGTTCTGTTTCATCAATTTTTTTAAAAACGAATTTTTTCAATTTTTTCAAACGTCATTGTAGTTGAAATAAAATTGCGAAACTGCTTTATATTTTACTAGAATGCTATTTTAGTCGCTTCCACAGAAATTGAAAATAAACGTAAAAAACTACAAAGCTATATACACGGTGTCCCATATAAGAAGGCATACT